GGGGGGGGGGGTTTGTGAGATTGGGTATCTCGTTATGTCACATTCAGGGACTTTGTTGTTGCTCACTGAGGCAACGCCGATGCTCCTCTTCAACGAGATTACACCTACGTGTCTTTACACTTGTTTCGAGATGGATAACCTCGGAAATGTGACGTCCGAGCGTGTTTCGTGGCCTTGAATCAGCACCAGTGAATCCCACGTGCTCACAATTCACAGTGCCGACAACCATTCCCCCAAATCCTGCAAGTGGTTCCCATCGGTTCCAGTTCATCTAAGTACACTAACAGAATCAACTCAGTGACAACGTGGTTAATGCTTTGTGATCAAACACACTGGTTTTCATTTAAATCACTTAATTCGACTTTTAATAGCGTTAAAAATGGCTTTTTCCTGGCGGTGCGTTCATGCGCTAAAGTAAAGATCCGACAACAGAGCTCACTCCTGCAGCTGCTACACAGCATTGCATTTACAAGCTGTGATGTTTGGGAACATGACAATTATTAGACAAAATGTAGTAAAAACGTGTCTTAAAATTGACAGTTAGTTGTATCGAATGGTCTCGAATAATTAATTTGCCGACTTCAACCCAATCCAACAGAGGGAAGGAAATCAGTCAGAGGATAAAGAGTTACCAAGACTTACTGTGTGTGTGTGTGTGTGTGTGTGTGTTCGCACTGAATCTTTTAAAGGCGGGCCTTAACACCTGAACAAGTTTTACAAAATATTAGAAAAGATCAAATATGTCTGCATGCTTTGAGGAACTGACTGAAAGGAACAGAAGGTGCAAGTTACTGCTTCTTTGGGTAAAAACAACTGGGCTGGTCCTTTAAGTTCATAAACCTCGCTCACTCTGAAGTGCATCCATCCCTCTGAATAATGACCCTTCAGTCCCCTGGTATTAAGCCCACACAATGGACTTAAGCAACTAGACTAGCAAGTAATTAACGGCATTGTATGAAATGAAATGGAAGGAGAAAGAGCCGGCTGGAGTCATTAGACTGAGGGCCTTTGTGGCTCTCCTCCCCCGGCCGGTTTTTGTCTTTGCGTCTCTTTTCATGTTTTCTATTCTCTTCCAAAGCAAAGCGGCGGCCCCCTTTATTTAAATACGTGTAATGATTACTCTCGTCTTCTTTTGGAGAGCGACGCCTCACATCTACGAAGCAAGTCTGACTGACGTGACCCTGAATTAACAGAGAGAGAGACAGAGAGAGAGAGACGGAGAGAGAGACGGAGAGGCACAGAGACAGAGAGAGAGAGACGGAGAGAGAGACAGAGAGAGAGAGGGAGTGAGAGAGAGAGAAAGAGACGGAGAGAGAGACGGAGAGGCACAGAGACAGAGAGAGAGACGGAGAGAGAGACAGAGAGAGAGACAGAGGGAGTGAGAGAGAGAGAGAGAGAGAGAGAGACGGAGAGGCACAGAGACAGAGAGAGAGACGGAGAGAGAGACAGAGAGGGAGTGAGAGAGAGAGACAGAGAAGGAGTGAGAGAGAGAGACAGAGAGGGAGTGAGAGAGAGAGACAGAGAGGGAGTGAGAGAGAGAGACAGAGAGGGAGTGAGAGAGAGAGACAGAGAGGGAGTGAGAGAGAGAGACAGAGACGGAGAGGCACAGAGAGAGACACAGAGAGAGACACAGAGACACAGAGAGAGAGACGGAGAGAGAGACGGAGAGAGAGACAGAGAGAGAGACAGAGAGAGAGACAGAGAGGGAGTGAGAGAGAGAGACAGAGAGAGAGACAGAGAGAGAGACAGAGAGAGAGACAGAGAGGAGAGCCGGAGAGAGAGACAGAGAGAGAGAGACAGAGAGAGAGAGACAGAGAGAGAGAGACAGAGAGAGAGACAGAGAGAGAGTGAGAGAGAGAGTGAGAGAGAGAGAGACAGAGACAGAGAGGCACAGAGAGAGACACAGAGAGAGACACAGAGACAGAGAGAGAGACGGAGAGAGAGACAGAGAGAGAGACAGAGAGAGAGACAGAGAGGGAGTGAGAGAGAGAGACAGAGAGAGAGACGTAGAGAGAGACGTAGAGAGAGACGTAGAGAGAGAGACAGAGAGGGAGTGAGAGAGAGACACAGAGACAGAGAGAGAGACGGAGAGAGAGAGGAGAGCCGGCAACACTCAGGCTGCTAAACGGCCCTCCACGCTTCCTCCTCTTCGCTCAGCAGACATCCATCATCATAGAGATACAAAGACAAGAGCGTACGTATGTATCCGCAGTCACGACGGGGACGCTAAAGAGCATCTGGGGTAAAATAAATGACGCCTGATGGTTTGGGGGGGGGCTGCACATATTGCGCTCTTGGGAGTTTTGTTAAAAGCGCGACGCTGACGAAAGTGACTTACAAATTGCTCCATCAACGAGACAACGTGGTCCTGGGTTTGTAATGTGGACAACACAACGGAGAAAACCACGGGGACAATTTGCTTTAAAATGTTTTTGTTGCATCAAAAGCTCGTCTTCCAAATATTTGCATTTCTGCTGCACAAGAGACCGCCGAGGAGATGAAAAAGGTTTAGAAAGGTTTTATTAGAATTTCCCTCCAAAACATGCAAAGATAAAGCGACGGCTTACTGATCGCCTGATAACAAGCCTCATTTCATCCTCATTTCATTCCCATGATCGAGAGATAGACAACACGTCTGTTGTTTATAAAAGTAAAACCAAAATGTTTCCCTGAATGTTCAAACCTTATTTCTCCACAGCTGCGCATAAAGAACAGGCTACACCAATATCATCAGTGTTACAAGCTGTCCAAAAGTACAAAAGTCAAAATTAAAATTTCCAACACGGTTTTATCAAACGATTATTGGACGAAAATTGGACTTTTTTTCAGGCCACTACAAGGAAATTTGGTTTAATGAGCTCAAACATAATCTGTACCGACCGCAGGAAACGACCCCGATGAGATCTGTGCTCATATCTGATCGACGGGCTTCTTAGAAAGCCGAGCAGCGATTTCCTCATCACATGGTATGAAGAGCAAAGAGCGTAGATAAGAACAGGAGAAGTGTATCCAAGTCTCCCATCATGCATTGCTAATGTTTGCAGATTTAAAATGAGATGTGGAGTTCACACCTGTGCATTGGTACAACGGGTCAGATGCAGTTCAAGATAAACAATCAACTCTTTCAAAGGCCTTTTAGGAAAAGCACTTGGAAGCTAAGACTGATTAAATATGTCACAATGATGCATTCATGCATAATTGGAAAACAAAGACTTCCCTTCAGACTCGCGAACGCTGTTTTGCAGCCAACTCCTAACCCTCCGTTCTCACACACAAAGTCCACGTCGTACCAGCCGATCGTGACCCAGAACTTTAAGAGTCTGTTAGCGTTGCAACATAGGAACGTAGTCCTGGAGGAAACCAAACGTGCAACTTTTGGATTTCTTGGGGAAACTTCACTACGTAATAGTACTTCCAACTAAATGCAACTTTGAAAGAGCTGCAGAGAAATAATACCCCTAACAAGGCTTGAAGAAGGGAAACTAAATATCTCTTGGGAGATCAGCTACCTGCTGGAATATTGTCGATTCTGTTACTTACATTGAGGAAGGGATTTCCACAGAGGACAACATTTACAAAGCTACATCCACAAAGAACAAGTAGAAGGAGCACCGGCCTCTTGAAGCTCCGAGCCTCCCTGACAACAGCAGCTCAATGAGACCAACACATCCACAGCTGGACAAACAACACGGTGAAGCTCGTCTGCAGACACACAGTGGTTCTTTAAGCTTACCTTCGTGCCTCTCTGGGTTCAAAATGCACTCTACAGTTACAGATGTCAGTATTTGGTCAAGTTTTCTGCCATTGATTCAATTTCTTTTATCATTTATAGTACAACAAGTTGACAAAATGGAATCTATGGCGTGTTTTGGGGTCAGCTTATTATGGGATCACTTTTTGACAAAGTCAAACACGTTTAAAACGGCGGCCATGTTTGCTGTTAAAGTACTAGTCGGCCTCTTTCTCACCTAAACAAATGTCTGTTTTGTGACTGCATTACTTCACAATAATGACATCCATTGAAGCTTCTACGTCTGCTGAACACCTTCACACAGGCAGCTACATCCCTGAAAGAAAGTCACAAAGAAAGTGACGTTTGATGTTTCTGGAAGCAGCGAGAAACTCTCAAGATGAAAAGAGGCGAAGAGGAGCAGAACAGACTCCGCTGCAGCTTCTTTGCTGTTTATTAGCAGCAGTCTGCACGAGTGAGCGTCCTCATTATACTGTAAAGGAAGTGTGAGGACAAACACCGCGGCAATGACCACATATCAAAGGTGTGGAGAGAGCAGATGAATGTGGTGGTTGATGCTCCGCATGATACAACAGCAGAGGGCTTAGAATAAACTTTGTGATTACCAGAAACACAGCAGTGGCTTGATGGACGTTTCACGCCTTTTTAACTCGCCTTACAATTAACGTCAAATACTCACGTCTTTAATTAGCTGTTTTTTGTTCGACCAACAATCTGAAACCAAAAGATGTTTGATTTTAAAACAATTAAAAACACAGAAAAGCAGCAAATACTCACATTTAAGAAGCTGGAACGAGCTCATGTTTGGCATTTTTGCTCAAATGATGAATCAATTGTCCAAATTAATGGGCGAGTACTTGTGTGTGGATTTTGGATTTTGTCCTAAAACAAGATTGAAATAGGCGAGCCCTTTGTTCTCCGAGTACTATTTCACTTAGTCGACTAACCGACAGTCCGAGTTACTTTTAACTTTTACATTTAGAAAACATAAAATATGATGCATTATTATTAACGCATTGTTTAAAAGCATTTTTAGTTATGTGGCTGACCAGCATCTTTATAACAAGTTTATTATTTAAAAATTATTTTAAATTCATATTTTTCTAATTTTATTTTGGATGTGTGCATATGT